AGAATATAATATAAAAGGCTCAAACACTAATATTACATGGTTATAATTTATAAATTTATAATTTATCAATAATAAATAATTATAATTTATATAATATATATAATTTATAATCTGTAATAAATTATAAGCATGGAATATTAGTGTTTGAGCCTTTTATATTATATATATATATATATATATATATATATATATCTGTTGCTGTATCGGGGTCTGCATCTGTTGATTAAGTCTTCCTTAATTGTCATCAATTAGATTTAATTCATCTTGACGACTTAATTCCTGCTTATCCTAAATCAATCTTATTAAAGCGAAAATCCTAATATCTAGAATAACAAGATTTGGTCGGTGAAGATGAAAGCGCTTACTTGTTGTTCGATATTTCATGGTGGCTGTGTTGACAGCAGCGGCGATAACGTGACCGTTCTCGTCGATGTAGACACGTTTCAATAGACTTCTTTTATTCAACGATTAATGCCTTTCACGTCTGTCGAATGCTAACGGCCCGAATGCCAGTTCGGCATCATGTTTTCACAGCCACGTTCCAACAGAACGTAGACAATCACGCTTCTCTACAACTTCTTTTAATTTAATATCGATAAATTGCAATTATTTTTCCTCCAAAAGTACTCTCCACAATTTTAATTAATTTAATTGTCTTTTCCCTAGACTAATTCTTTTACCAGCGCTAAAATACCAAGGCTACGATAATATTTTATCCATAGCTGAGTAGCAGAAGTTATACACGATTTTAAATTCTGAATTGTTTGCTACTGTACCACTGCTGAAGTGTTCAGTTTACACTATATTTTTACCTATAGCTAAGTGTGAGTTAACTGAGTGGTTTTTGTACATTATTTACATTATTCGGACTATTGTCCTCACTTTTGACGCCATATTTATCACAACGTTTCGGCCGTTGTACACTCCGGCCAGGTGGTTGGAATGTCGAACTGAACCCTTTATTTCGCTCACTGGTGTAGACTGTTCTAGTTCCACGTGCCATAGAGGAGAACTGGACTAGACTAACTTCCTGCCTCTTGATCTATGCATCGTTTGACTCCTTACCATTCCTGTCTCTTGTTGCTCTAAACAATGTTTGATTCTTTATTATCCATCTTTGATCCGCTTCTTTCTTCCATTAACTTCTTATTTTATCTGACTTATCCATTTAGAAAGGGGCGATTATGGCTCTCCACAACTTCCCATCTCTTGTTGCTCTAACCAACGTTTGATTCTTTACTGTACATATTTGTTCCTGTTCTACCTTCCAGTCACTTCTTCTTTTATGAGACTCATCTCTTTAGGACGTAGGCGATCATGACTCTCCCCAGCTTCCTGTCTCTTGTTCTAAGCAACTTTTGACTTTTTACTATATATACTCTTTGTCCTTGCACTGATATCCATTTAACCAAACTCATTAGAAAAGTCACTCATATTTTTCTATCTCCCTTTTTAATATGTTTTGTGAGTGGGAAATTTTCTTAAACGGCTTTGCTCGGTGTTCCTTCCACTGCCGGTAGGAATGACTGCAAAACGCCTCTCTCCCCCAAATTTATAAACAAATCCTACAGATGCATGCTGGGATTTCTTGGCCAACAAAAAAAAACACTTCTCCGTCTCATCCGCCATATTTTTATTCTTTCTTGATTTGAATTCAGAACACTATAATCACGTGACTGTATCCTTTCTGCGTCTTAACACTATTCCTACTTTGTGAAGTTTTTGCCTTATTACTGTTTTTTTTTTTAGTTTTGTCTTGCATTATATATTGTTTGCTTAGTATTATTTTTCACTTGTTCTTTTTCTTCCTTTTCGTTTTGCTTATTGAGAGCTTGTCAATTCCATTTGTTGAGTTTTTTTGCCAATTACACTTCAACTGGGCCAGTTACTCCACACTCATAATGTGTCACATGTTTTATCGATTTCTTTCTTATTTTAAATCTACGTGTCTTTCTGGTTTTAAATTTCTTTAGAGTCTTATCATTAGCAACATGTTTTGTCTTTGGTTTTCTCATCAGACGTCAGTAGATATACATCTCTGTCGGTTCAACTCTCTTTTTCATTTGTAAGATAATTATCCAGAATTCTCTGCGATAAACTGTCAATATCAACTCCAAATTATATAAGCTAAATGAAATCACTAATTAATTAGGCTTCCGCTAATTGTCTCGTGAATTTAATAGCCTATTGCAAAGTCTAATATGAGATTGAGTCGCAAATAACTTCTGTTTTTTTATTACCTTTCTCCTTCAAAAGTACAATTATATTTTATTCAACTATAGATTCACATTATTTACATTATTCTCACTATTGTCCTCATCTTTGTCGCCTTTGTTAAAACGTTTCGGCCATTGTACTATCCGGCCTCCTTCAGGTGGTTTGGAATGTCGAACTGAACTCTTTATTTCGCTCACCGGGGTAGACTGTTCTAGTTCCACGTGCCATGTCTAATGGATGTCAGTTATCAGTTATCTCCTGTTAATTCCTCTCTCCAAGTTCT